GATATATCTTCCATATAGATAAATATATTTTTTTACAAAATTTAATCTGTATGACACTTAGCATTTTTTAATGCAAATCAAATCGTTTGAGATTATAGATTTTCTCAAACTTATTTGAACTCACCAAACCCAAAAAATATTATGTTAGTATATAAAATTTTTAAATAAAAATTCGATTAAATAATAAAAAATAAAAATGATGATTTTCGAAATTCAAACATTAATGTTTGATTTGTAAAATTGAATGTATATCAAAAGCGAAACTTTAATATAATATGAATATAACTAAATATATAGAAGAAAATAATTATGATCAATCACATATGGTATCCAAATGGACATAAATCGGATTTTTATAAAATGATTGATATAGATAAATGATTCATCGTTAAAAATTATATTATATAACATTTAAAATATTAAAATATTATATTTAGTTGGATTTAATTAATAACATATGTATTTGTGAGTTAATGATTAAAAACTAATGTAAATATCTAGAGATTTCTAACATGACTTATATAATTAATTTAAATATTTTGGTTGATTAATTTAATTGATGTCTTCTTAAAATTTTCATTGGCACATACTATATTTTTATTTAGTATCTCTTCGATCAATATGGAGAGGATATTTACACGATTGATGTGAATTTGGTGATGGTAATCGAGTGATTAGTTTTCGTTGTGGAGTCAAATGATAAATTCATAAAGCGTTAAACGAAGGGATAAAGCAATATCTTTTTGTCTATGCTTTTATTTTTATTAGTTATGCAGATAAAATACTCTTTATTTTTTATTTGGACATTTATGTCACTTTAGTAACAATGTTATTGTTAGCCAAAAAAGAAAAGATTGCGCGAATGCAATTTTTCCTTTTTTCACTTTGGTTTGCATAATTGAGTCGTGGTTGTAAAATTTTGGGATTGATATGAGTTTGGGGTTGTAAGGAAGAAATTTTGTTGTGTGGTTCACGAAAGTATCTATTGATTTACGACGGTAAGAGCATGACAAG